TAAATGGAGCCAATTTCCGAAACTACCGAACCGCACTAAGGATACGCCACGGATGAATGGCCAGATTAAATGTTGGGACGCTCCGTTCATAGGAGACAAATGCGTTAAAAATGGTTTCTCAGAAACCTTCGAAGTTCTAAGCTACGTATTACCCTAATTCTAATAAACACAGATACCTAAATTAAGAACTTAAATTTCGCTAATGTTGTTGTAATATTATTAGTTAGACTTGTTGCGACACATACTTGAAACACGAAGATACTTTGGATTCATAGTTGAATATACATACACATAGTTTACGTTGTCACTTTATTTCGTTGGATTATTCTGAATGTGGATGTCACTACGGCACAATTTCGTATTTACAATACTACATTTAAACATATATGTATATCGTCTCTAGCCACTAACAAATATAGTAAACTATTGTAGTGGTGAAAAAAAACTCAGCCTGAACACTTTAAAATCAAACAAAGGGGGGTCGTCTTGGTATCTTACCTATGGTATCTATGAATATACTCTTGAGCTGTCCTTTCCACAACTCAAGTTTATACCCCGAGACTTAACCAGTATTCATTTGAGTTATCAGTCAGAAATCAGTCGAATAGATTTGATTAAATCTATTACAGGACAAAGTATATTAAAAATGTCACTTGTACTTGGCTACACTTTCAGTTTACAGATGAAACACTGAAACTAACTTTAGCCATTTCTGTCTTAAAAAATATGTTATCCCTGCAAGGTGTTCCTTCTTGTAGTCATATTACTTAACGTTAAATGTAAGGCACTTTGTTTTATCCATTAAGACTACTTATATTCGGAAGTTTTACGACTCGTGACAGTATTGTACACACCTACTCCTTCTTCCCTTATTGTCATGTGCAACGACCTGTTCGATCTTTCGCTAACATTGTGGTATAGCTCGACCAACTTTATGCTATGACTTTTTGACATAATATAAACTATAAAATTCTCCGCCATGTGGTTCGTTGCGTGCATTGTCAATCAGAGGGGAGGTTCATAGGGCGTCGCACAGACTTAATGGCAAAGGCATTCTATGCCAGTCAAACTTCGAGTGAGTGAGATATTTATGAAATAGGTGCATTAAAAAAAATGCATTTTATAGGAATAGAATATACATTTCTACTATTCTGATGACTTGGAGGAGCTGAACTAGTTGTAAATAGGATAAGATACGAATTGTGTTTTAAAAAATATTAGAGAAGATTATTTGAAGAGAATTTAGCATCAATAAACAGACGTAGATCTTTAACAGGACAACTAAACGATATGGTAGATCCGTTGAAATTTACAGATGACAGGCTATCCTAGGTCTAGCTTTCTGATGAGATGTTGACTGCCTACGACGATGGCCTGGCATTCAGATGGAATCATGATTAGATACTGTAAGACCAGCCACTAATCGCCTTCACAGATTTCGATTTTGTCTTACAAATAGTCTCAAACATTATAGACGGTTAGGAACAAAAACTCTTTTTTTTTCTTGTACAAGAAAATGAGAATTTAGGGTAAAAAAAGTTTTTTGGAAGAATGTAACTACAATTTACATATTGCTGCTTATCGATATTGCTGAAGAATTTATACATATTTTAGCGGTTTTACCGGAAACAACGACGGATGTTCATGATCCCACTATAAAGTCTGGCTTTTTGACATCCGAATCTGTTTTCTGTATGCGATCTCTAATGTTTTCGATGATAGGAAGTGAAATGTTTTCCGTGTAACTAGATTTGTGTTCATTGAGACACTTTGTAAGGTAAAGTTCCTGCTTTACTATTGTACAGTACGGAATATTGTACATAGTGATGTGCCGGATCGTTAACAAAGTATATCCGCGGATACGGATCCGAATACGGATATTTGGTGTCAAGATCCGCGGATACGGATACGGATCTTAAGTTTCTTACTCAATCCCGAGCCCGTGACCTTGATAGTTGTCGCCACTTGACGCTTTGCCGTTGATATTTAGATATTTCATTATTTTAATAAGCTAATACAAAGATGTTTGATCGATCTCATTATAAAGATAGCTCTTTCAGTACCTACGACCTGCCTAGTTGATTTAGTGTAGTACGATAAATGATTGCAATACAAAGGTGCCAAATATTTGTTTTAAGAAATAAAAAGTAATCTGAACAGAATTCAATAGTTTTTCATAGCTACCTAATAACCATTATTCAGGGTTATTTTAAATTTACTGAAAACTTTTGAAGTGCATATTAGTAACATTATAAACAACAACTTTTCTTCTGGACTAACACCGAAAACGAAAGAAAAAAAATTGTTTCTCCATACAAACTAACAACATTTGATTGGTCATTTGAATGGAGGACCAATTTTTTTTCATTTTGACGTTGCTGAAAAAAAGTTGCTGTTTATAGTGTTACAAACACATACCTAAGAGTTTTACAGTGAATACAAAATCACCTATATAGAATTTCATCTATGTATTGAAAGATCCGCCAAAAAAGTCACGGATACGGATACGGTTACGGATCTCTCTTCTCCCTTGGATATCCGCGGATACGGATACGGATATCCGGCACATCACTAATTGTACAGTACGTGGTTAATATTTTGGGACAGTTACTGGTCTAAGTGTTCTCTTCGTCTTTCAGTAAATCACCTTCTTTTGTTTTGATTCGATTGAAACTTAGGATTTTTTATTTCTTTAAAAAAATAGGAAACAGCTGAACTGCTCAAAGGAAAATCAACACAGAATAATTAGTAAATGCGTTTCGATTATAGTGTGTGCAGTGCTTAAACTTTTTTGCTGACATTATTTCTGTAAAAATCACGCCAGAACAAAGTGCTGTAAAGTTTCTCAACCTTTATTCTGAAACGTTAAGTTTTCCAAGTTTAGTTAGTAGAACTAGCAGGTATTACGTCGCCGAGTGGAGATTAACATTGTTTGTTTGAGCTCACTGCGGCTTGTGTTGAACGCTCTTTAGTGGGATTGACCAGCTTAAGGTTTCACGTTTCGATGGCATTACACTGTTCCATTCAATTAAATCGAAAGTGGGCAATTTATGTGATTTCGCTAATAAACAATATGGTTTCAGTATATTCGATTAAAAATTGTGGCCTTGTCCTGTGTCGTCTGTTTCATCCTCATTTATCTGTTTTGCAGATTTTGTTTTTAGATTGGACTTTATCTTTAATATTTAGAAAATAGATATCAAAATGGCAGGGCTCGGTACATTTCTTCCTGTTTCTACTCACGACTGCATCGTATAAAGCAAGCCTATAATAAAATTAGCAAATAGTAGAGACTAGTACTAGACTAGTCGGATGATGAGAATAAGATTCATTTCTATAATTTTTTAGATTTTGATATACTATATAAACCTAAATGAAGCATTAGGTATTTAGTTGTTTTGTCATGTGAAAAGTACTTCAATTTATGGCCACAATAGGTATATAAGCATATAAAAAATTGGTTAGTTTTGCACCGACAATATAATCGCGTGCAAATAGGAATACGCGTACCCCTGGATGCACGTTGATATATAAAGTCCCAAATATTTCTCTACTGCAAATATTACGTTCAACTCAAGACAAATAATATAACCAAATGTCATAACTTTATAGCAAGGGTTCCCCTTGTACAATGTGCAATCACATAAATATCATTTCCGTCATTTGATTTTTGAAAAAATTTCGTTACATGTTCGTATTTTTTAATATAAATACATCTTTCGACGATGTTTGTTTCAGAACATTTTAGTTATGAAGAAATACAAACAGAAGTAGTGCCAGTGTTAGTTATGTCTGACTAAACGATTCTAATATGCGCCTACTAGTGCTACTACAATTTTTCATAAGATTTTCATGAAATGTCTGTCCAACGGTAGAGATTCTTTATTCTTAACTAAAACATAGTATCTTATCCCTAGATTACAAAACAAAAGGATTACTAAACATTTTGTGTTGTAATACAAGATCTTATCAATATAATTTAAACACGACAAAGATTATGTCAGAATAGGAACCTTCTAGTTTCTGAACAAAAAAAATCCTTCATGAAGAATCATTTCTGAAAGTATAAGCTTTGCTTCTACATTACTATTTACTGGCCGATTTCACGCAACCAATTAGTTAAAGCCTCTGAGAAAGAACTCGGCACTAAAAATAACATGGGTTTAAAATCGCCATTAAATGCAATTTTCATGGTAAAGTAGAGGTAGATTAGAAAGTTGCTGACAGCTCACTCAATTTAAAAAAAAAATTGAGTTCAAATAGACTAGCTTTTACACATTATAGAACAAACTGATAAAGTCTTCTATGGCTTCGTCTCTTTAAAGAAGATAACTCACAATAATTCAGGTGGCCGACAATGCTGACATACGCTGTAATTTTTAACCTAATTTAATACACCATCTCTCGTGTGATAATGTAGAACCCGCTCCCCTTTGCAGTTTTAATGATTTATAGAAAATGCCGTTCAGTTGAAATTGACATGTCTGCCATGTCATAAATAAATGACAAAACAATCATGTCATATCAGTTGGGGAATAATTTAAGTATTGCTACATAACTGTTACAATCTACATCCCACTGCTGAGACTCTCTTCACCAGGGTCAACAACAGCCTCAAAAACGAGCGAGCCCACAGATAGGAGAATTTAAACAAACTCACTTGTCCATAGTTGGAAACAAGTAAGAAATTTCTATAATCCATATTACAATTAATTAATAATTACATATTTTTTTTAATATTTCAGGCATCCGACACACAACGCCATCTAGTTTCAAACTAAGCAGAGCTTGTACTAAGAAGGCTAGATTGACTGATAGGATACTTATATATTTTTGTAAATACATACATAATATACATATTTTCGAAACAAATATATGCAGATCATACAAACATTCGGTCCATCCCGGGAATGGAACCCGAGACCTCAGCACAGCAGTCGCATACGCTACCACTGCATCACTGAGGCAGTATCGGAGCATAATAAACTAAATGTACGAACCGTTTTCACATTCAACGCAAACTGGAGCATTTCCCTCTGTTAGCCTTTCGGTACGACACATAGCTGCACTCCGTCTGATATGGCGTCAAATGAACACTGCTATACACACCTATATTTACATGTATATGCACTAAAGGGCTAATGCACTCCGTGTGCTCTATTTGCTTTATGATATCGAACGACGTACTTGCACTTTTCCAACCTTATAGAAAATTATTATTTAGATTTTTAAAAGAAAAATATTTTAAACAACGTACACTTGAGACTTACAAAGAAAAACTGACAAGGGGTCGTCTTTTAGTTTAAAATAAGAACAGTTTATGATTTAAAAAGCCTGAGTTGTTTAGATATATAACCTTTTTACAAATTCTTATCAAAAAGTTCGAAACTATGGGCGGATCTTAGGACCAAAAAGCGCCCATAGTGGTCCAGTCACTATGGGCGCTTTTTTTGTAGCGGTTTCTATTTCGTGATAAGTTTCGTGTTAACTTAATACTCACTGCGAATAAAATATCTTACTGTTTTGAAGATTCTCAGAACAGACGTATTCCTTATGTTAAATAATTCCTTTGTCTGGCCAACTAATGGTTAGTGACCCTGACTGCTACACCAGAGGTCGTGGGTTCGATTCCCACCCAGCACAAATAATTGTGTGATGAGCAGGGTCATTTGTTCTATGTCTGGGTGTATAATGTGTATGTATTTAGAAATATATAAGTATGTTTATCAGCAGTCTGGTTACTATAGTACAGGCTGTGCCTAGTTTGGGATCAGACGGCCGTGTGTGAAATGTGTGAGAATATTATTCTTATTTTATTATATTATCATTAAAATATTATTTCAAGATAAATTTAATCGATATTTAATAAAATATAATTTGAACTAACGGTAATACGCGTAGTACCTGTAAATTTTACGATTTTCCTATGACCCTTATTTTGCTTGAAAGACATTTAATTACACACTAAACAGCACGTCTGTTAACTAAGTGTGGATGAATAAAACGATTCAGACGATTAGAAACAGTTATGTCTTTATTGAAAGTCGTAAATCGACTTGCGGCCTCTGAATACTGGTGATAGTGATTCCTACCAGCAACAATCATAGGTTTGAAAGTGGTATTAATTGCCAGCTTAAGAATAAATGCCAATTTGCCTACTTGCAAATATCCGGGTACCATCATGCGACGAAAACATTGAGTAAGAGATGAATTGACTACAACCAAGCAGTGTTTCCGACAACAGTCCGGAAACCTATGAGAGGCTGCCTTTCTTCCTGATAGTCTGCAAAGTCACCATTCTTATATGTTGCTACTAAGGAGTGTAACAATTATTCTATATGCATATCACAACGAAGCAGGGGACAAATAATATGGCATTTTTGTACAAAAAGCGTTGTACTGCAGAGCGCTGACATTACTTTCGCAATGCAGTGTAGGCGGCACAAAATTAAATTCGGACCGTACTGCAACTAATTGCATCAGATCACAGATTTCTTACAGTCACAAGAATTTTGCATAAACTGTCAAACAAATCTCAACCTTACACTTCTTCTTATAAGGGGAGAAAACAATTGTGTGTGTACCAATAACTCAATGTAAAGTCAAAAAAATTTACTTCATACCCTTTTTCTAAATTTGGGGTCGATGCAATTAGTTTTCTTCTTCCTTTAATCAAATCGATATCCTCTTTCACGCACTCCTTCATTTTATTGCGAAATGGTTTTTAGATTTTACTTTTATGGCCGGCCGCCTGCCTAACGCCGTATTATTTACTTTACTGGGAAAGTAAATTCAAAAATACTTTACCTTACCATTTACATTACACAAGAGAGAAGCATCACTGTCCAACATCTGAACAAACCAACTCCTCAAAAGTTTACAGAATAACACACTTTTTATGATTTGGTACTACAAATAACCCGCACACGATCAAACATGTTAAGATTATCTATTCATTAATCTGCGGTTGACGTGTATATCTGTAAGTCATGTTTATCTTATAATAAAATATGTGCATTGCTAGTACATGATTGGCTCAATAAAAAATAAATAGGTACTTTGAACTGCCTGATCTCAAGAAAGATAATAGAGCTAAAATTAATAACCTAACTATTAAAGTTCGCTGCAAACAATAAACGCCTGGGGACGAGCTAGTCGCACAGCTTAATTACAGCCCGCGGGATGTCGAGATATTGGTTTTCTGATGGCGTATAGAGCAGGTAATTTGTAGGCAAATATGTCATACATATATAGCGAATATATCAGCTCCGATGAACGAACATATTTAAATTATATGTAATCAGGCTTAGTTAGTAGCCTTGTTTATCCCGTGTTTGCACGATTTACCTTATAAACAAGCAAATATATTTAATGAAAATGTTTTACTCTCAGTGCCGATGAAGTAGCAATATTAAAATATATTATAGATCAGAGGTTTCATAAAAGTTAATAGAGTTTCACGTAAGAATGAATCGCGCCTGCGTATCCCAGATTATTAATTTATGAGTAGATTTTGAGTAATATAAAACATACGCTATGTATGTTTTTTAATATTAACATAGAATAAAAAAGAAAATATCTGTACCATTCGTGAATAATAAGATTTATAACACTCAATTAGGTTTCTACTTACGATATTGTTACATATTAATTTAATCATTTTTAGGCAAAAGCCAGAAAAGGAGCTTGTATCTGTTGTGCTTGTTTTTGTTTTAAGGTTGTAAGTTATTACACTAAATCTTTAACAGAAAAGCTTATACAGATTTAGTATTTTTTTCTTAACCTTTCCTGTTGTAGTCAGGGCTTATTTGAAGAAAATCATTGTTTTAGAACGGCGAAAGGGAAAGAAACTACATAGTTTGTATGTCTATCAATTAGATTCACTGTTGTTACTACTTTGCAGGTTCTGGTTTAGAATAATCTTAAAATAAATAAATTTGTCTACTTGTATAAAATGAAGAATTTAGATTTTTTTTATTCTATACAAGTAAGCAAGTAAATACTAGAGACTTAAGGGAGTAGAGACCTATGTAGCCTCTTTCTTTCTCTGAATATTTTGTTTCAAAACTCAGCCTTTTAGTTAAATCTTGGCTCTAAGCAGTTATTTTATAAGTATGTAGCTTACATAGAAAAGAAAGTGTTCGTACTGTTCTAAGTACTGTCTCTGGGTCTTCGACTCTCACTTAACTAGTTTTCATAGTTCATTTAGACGTACAATTTATTTTAAACAACAAAAATAAACGTCGGCGCTTTCTAGTTAAAACCAATTAAAGTTAATCCATACAGCACGACCGATTAGTCAACTTTCTGTGGTCACGGAGTTAAACATCCGTTGAAGAGTTTGATTTTTATTTTTATAATTTCCTGGCGCGAGGCGGGTGCGTAAGAGCAGGCCCGTGATTTATCTTCTCTTATCTAAAAAATGTGCCACGTGCTGCGGCACAAATAGATCCCGAACAAGTGTAGACTCATCTTTATATATTTTTTAGAATGAGAAACGTTAATTATACTTTATTCGTGTCGTGCATTTGAGTGGACTTTATCTTCGTTTATATTTTAATTTTGTGAAGTGAGCACGGCCTATCTAGGCTCGTAAGTCAAAAAGCACAAGCCTAAAAAGAACTATTAAAAGCACTATCACAAGTGAAACTGCTCGTTTTTACATGAAATGTTTGGTAGTAGTACATTAAATTTTTATGTTTGATGTACATATGAACTGAAAATGTTTGTGTAAAGCCCACAACACGGAAAATTACTTATTAGAAGTCGTTAAAACTTTAAGTTTAAGACAATACATATTGCAACTAAATATAGTATTATGAACGTGGTCATCGTAACCTCCAGAGTCAACGTCAAAGCTTTCTTATCTAAGGTCCGTGCGACGACCTGAGTGATTCATCTCAGCTTTGATTTAAATAATATATTTTGTGTGAACAAGAGAATTATATGAAATGATTAAAAAACATAAATATCGACGGTCCCTACATTCAGAGCGTCATCTACAAAGTCTTGGATTACATTTAACTAAATAGCGCCCTGCGGTACTATAGACCGATAACTTGAGGAAAGTGGCTGGCTGCGGATGGATGCGGACTGCCCAAGACCGGGATAGTTGGCGCTCCTTGAGGGAAGCCTTCCTTCAGCAGTGGACGAAGGCTTCCCTCAAGGAGATACGAAGGACGATAGGCTGATGAAAGTGATACGTACTAGTTATCGGTTTGCGTATGGCAGCCAAATTTAGAGCATTTTCAATATCTAGCTCCTTTTTATTCATCATCATCATCAACTGCATTTAATAGTCCACTGCTAGACAACATAAGCCTCTACTAACAAAGAAGGTTTTGGTTTGCTAAAACCACGCTGGTCAGACGGCTTGGTATAGGGTTTGCGTCAAGTTCTCCTTCTCTTTGCAGTGCTGTTGTCCTGCGTAGTTATGTAATGTTGTTTATTACATTGACTTCTTCTTATTCTATCACGAAACGTCAACGAAATGAGGATATAAGGAATATAGCCGGGGTAGATTAGATGCAGAAAACGGAGGACCGACGGCTTAGGCGGACATTGAACGAGACCTATTTTCAGCAATGGACTGCAATCAATTGATTGAGAGTTTAAAAGCCAGGTTGGTTACCAAGATTCTGCCTAGTTTGAGAAATGTCTGAAGTTATTATCATATTAGTCTCTACGTTTTATCTAGACCATTGTCATAATTAATTGCCTTTATATGTGTTCGTTATTAAATAAATTGACAGATACTAATTAACTTGACTTAACACTTTATATTTGTAATTGTCATATCTAGTTGAAAGTAGTTGAAATATAATGTCCTACTTAGCTTAACCTATATTATTGTGACAGCCGGAGGACTAATTTATTCTAATCTACAAAAATGTCGGGTGACCAGACTATGTCCACATTAGTCTTCATTCACGAAACCCACACATAGGAATTACATTCGTGCGTTCCTTCAACAATCGTAGTACTAAATATTAAAATGCAATTTTTTTTCTTAAATTTCATTGGTCTTTAGTCGTAGGTGTTATGGACTAAAATATATAATT